GGGGGAGAGGGATTAGCAGGAGGAGAGAAGGGGAGCAGAGGATAGGGGAGGAGGAGAGCAGGAGGGAGCGGTCCTGAAGCGGTAGGATAGGGAGAGGAGAGGGGAGAGCAGGAGGAGAGGGGGGGGAGGCGAGGGATATGCAGGAGGGAGGGGAAGGGAGAGCAGGAAGATAGGGGAGGAGAGCAGGCAGGGAGGCGACGAGAGCAGGAGGGATAGGGAGAGGGAGAGGGAGAGCAGGAGGGAGAGGGGGAGGGATAGCAGGAGGGAGAGGGAAGGGGAGAGCAGGAGGGATAGGGAGAGGGAGAGCAGGAGCAGCAGGGAAAGCAGGCGAGAAGGCGAGAGCAGGAAGCAGAGCATGTGCCCCGCCGTGGTTGTTACCAGGGTCTGATCGGCTGCCCGTCGGCCAGCTGATGACCGCGTGGCCAGTGCGATGGTCATTCCTGCTTCCTCGGATTCTCACGGTGGGGCGGGAGGAGGCCGGGGGGGGGGAGGGCAACGGTGTTCGGCCTGCAGAGGGAAACCCCCTGCATCTGAGGGAACAACAGTCGGGATTAGCGCCCGGATGACGCAGGGGAATCCGAGAGGCCGAGCGAGCGAGCGCCACTGGGCTTGGAGGACGAGGCGGCGGCGGCGGCGACGACGCTCTCGCCCCGACGAAGCTCCGAGGAACAGGGAGGTAGGTGCAACAAGAAGCAGGAAATAGAGAGAGAGGAGAGGAGAGGAGAGGAGAGGACGAGGAGAGGAGAGGAGAGGAGGGAGAGGAGAGGAGAGGAGAGAGGAGAGGGAGAGGAGAGGAGAGGAGAGGAGAGGAGAGGAGAGGAGAGGAGAGGAGAGGAGAGGAGAGGAGAGGGAGAGGAGAGGGAGAGGAGAGGAGAGAGAGGGAGAGAGAGAGAGAGACAGAAGGAGAGAGAAGAGATAGATAGATAGAGATAGATAGATAGATAGAGATAGATAGATAGAGATAGATAGATAGATAGAAGATAGATAGAGATAGATAGATAGAAGATAGAGATAGATAGAGATAGATAGATAGAGATAGATAGATAGAGAGAGAGAGAGAGAGAGAGAGAGAGAGAGAGAGAGAGAGAGAGAGAGAGAGAGAGAGAAGAGAGAGAGAGAGAGAGAGAGAGAGAGAGGCCAAGCAAGACCCCACAGATGGTGCCTGGATACCCCAACCCTTTTTCAAAATACCGTCAGCCTAGTCAGTTGCAACAGGAGCGTCGCAGTGATCACAGTGCGGTGCTCAACGAGAGATGATTTATCAAATGGATTTTTTTCTGAGGGAATTTTTGGTGAAGAACGAGTGGTGAACATATAAGGTAAAATATCAGATTGTGTGTGGCATCGTGATGTGGATACGTATTTGTCTGGTTCTCTTGCTTCTTCTATTCTTGAGTGTTTTATCTTCATCCCCTGTAATTCTTGCATGTCGTCACGTTCTGCAAAAAACAACAACTTAAATTTGATGTAAAACCAATTCAGAATGAGATTTGATATCCACTAATAAACAAAAAACGCAGATCACTCTTGGCAATCAAACAGAGAAATTTCTAGTCCAAACACCCAACTGAAACTTCGAATCACTGGTTTGGAAAACAAAGCTAAACTCAATGTCTCCCACATTTGTTTATAAGAACTCCAATGTTTTAGCGAAGCCTACCCTAAAAACCAGTGCAATGGTCGACGTGACCCGTTTTCTGTGAGGCGCGGACCGGCCCGTTTTCTTTGGCGGAAGAAGCATCAGACGCGAGAACAACAATGGCGGTGAGTGAAGTTGTTTTTATCCTTAAGGCAAGCTTTATGGCCTTTTCGTCACGTTCCGCCTGATTTCGTGGCCCCGTGGCCCAGGCAGGCGAGGCCGCCGGCCGTGCCTCGCGGCCGAGGAGCCTCTCGCAGGCAGCAGAAGGGGCGGGAGAAGCCTGAAAGGTGCCGAGAAGTGACATTTGGGCGAGGGAGGGAAGGCGGCCGAGACGACCTGCAGGAGCGGGAAACCAGCGTTCGAATTCGGAGGCTTCCTGGGGCTTCC